AGACTCTCCGCCTTCTCCATTTTGCTTCGGAAAGTTCGTTCACCTCTCCGGTTTCAGGTTGGACGCCACCCAGAAATGCTTTTTGGTTGTGAAGCAAAGTTAAATTTGTTTGGCATTTTTAAAGAAGAAACACAAAAAGCAGTGAATGCAGCTCTTTTTTACAGGCCAACCACAGCCGAAGGGGAACAAGTTTGTTCACACCACTTCCCTTTTGTTATTAAAAGACCTATAACTTTATTCTCAGCTTGACTGATAACGTGACATATTCGTTTGTGTTCAGTTCCATTTTATTTTTATAGCATCATTTCAGGCTGAAGGTTCTGCCTCCTGTTCTACTTTTAGAAACTGTAGAAATCACAGCTCAGCATCCTGAGAGCTTTGTCAGCATCACATGGCACTATGAGATCTTTAACATGTGACCGGTCCTGATCATTAAGACTTTGTATGTATTTAGATGAATTCTGAACTCTTGCCTGGCTAATATGGGAAATATATAATCTCCTATGTGCCTGTTACTGTTGTCACGGTGGTGTTTTGGATCAGCTGAAGGCTTTTCTGTGAGATTTCAGGCCAACCAGATAAAAGGACTTCATATTTAGCCAGCTCTACCCTGAACGTGATTTTAAAACCCAAGTATAAAATATCAAACAAGCCATTAAGGTGCAGAAATGTCCTCGCTCTGATGGGGTCGTCCCATCACTCGTCCTCAGTCACAGCCTCCGGTTCTCCAGGGTGATGGATGATCCAGTGAAATCGTAGTCCAGTTAGAGAAACTCTATCTGTGTCCTCTGTCTGCCCAGCTGTCCGTCACACACTCTGAGACACACGCACACACACACGCACACACACACACACTGGTCCATCTGTCGACCTCTCCTCTCTCTGGTCTCCCCCTCAGCTCAGCGGGCTAATTAACTAATGTGCTGATCTTTCACTGCCTCTTTGTGTTTCTGTGTGTGTGTCACGGGGTTAATTGTTGGACTCGGCTTCCTGTACGTCTCCGCTGCCCGGCTGAAAACTTTATTATCCCTCCCTTCAGTTTCTGTCTCATTAGAAGCCGTTGTTCACGGCGCTGTGCAGTCGCTGTGTGGAGGATCTGTTTTAGCTCAGTCAGGAGGACCTCTCTTAAATGACACTAAAAAAAAGACTCTTTCTTCTTCTCATTTATTAATGAAGCTGCAGAGAGACGCCTGGACCTCCTCAGTCCAACATGTCTCCCCCGTTTGCTGAAACTAATTCACACGTTGACAGTAAAATCAACAGGACAGGGCGGCTCGTGATTTGTTTGCTGCTCAGAAAGAGCTCCAGGTTTACTTCACATTGTTTCTGTTCACGGGACTCGTTTCATTTCTCCCAAATTTTGCAGTGAAATTTAAGCCTCAGTGGATCCACCATCATGCTGCATGTCAGAACTCTATATTTACCACCTGCTGTTAATCTGATCATTACGCTCTCAATTGACCGTTGAGCCCTCATGCATATCCTGGAGTCTTGTAAACTCCTCGAATCGACAATTAGTCACGAATACTCACATCGTTAGCAGGGATGACAACGAGAAGCTCTTTACACCTGAGAGGCTCAAAGCTACATTTTCCCCTTTTTTGTCTGAAAACAGCGATTTATTATTTATTTGAAATACGTTAATTACAGCGAGGACGCACTGTGTAAAATATTTGTTTTGTAGAGATTTGGTCCCACAGGGCAGTCTTATTTCACACGTTTTTTATTTAAATATTCCATTGTACAGTGTATATAGTGTGTTTGTTTGTTTTTTAATTCGTTTTTGTTTCTGTGTTTTTCAAAATTTCACTCATGTGAAGGCAGAGCACCTCTCTGACCTGAAATAAGACAGATTTCCACCCAGTTGTAAAATAATTCGTTTCCGCTTCTTCTGTGGGATTTCTGGGATTAGAATATGTATTATTAGTGAAGACGCGTGTGATCAGTTGACCACGATGAGTAAACATTGTCAGCACCAGAAATATTAGTTGGTTAAACTAGTTCATATTTTATTGATGTACAAAATTGGGCAAAGTGCAGCACACATTAGTCACTTTTAAAATACGATGAAAGAGTCAAATGGATTAAATACACACACAGACTGTTTAACCATATTTATTAATCTGTGCTCGATTTGAACTGTTTTCTCACTTCTGGGGACTTCCTGCACTCGGCCAATCAGAAGAAAGAGAGCGTTCAGAGAGGCAGGCCTTCAGAGAAAAAAATCATAGACTGTATTTAAAGAATGACTGTAGCCATCTGATGTCACTGCCTGGTTCAAGAAGTTCTGTTGTGACATTTTGAAGCTGTCTGTTTATTGGCTAATGACGTGTCAGGTTTTGACCAATAAGCATATCCTGCTCTGTTCTTCTTTCTGACCCTGATAATGTCAACAATTGAAAATATTGCATATTCAGATTTCAAACTAGTGACTGAATCCGTGACATATCAAGAATATGTTTACTGAGGTTGCAGAGCAACGCCCTGTAAACGTCTGTAGAACCTCAAGTCTTTCTGCAACCAGAGGTGCGTCCCCTGCTGGCTATTAGGAAGAATGCAGCTTTAACGCTCTTCCACAACAGCTAATGTTTTAATGTACAGTGTGGGCCATTTATATGGATACACCGTAATAAAATGGGAATGTTTGATGATATTAAAGTCCTGTTTGTGGCACATTAGTATATGTGAGGGGGCAAACTCCTCAAGATGGGTGGTGACCATGGTGGCCATTTAGAAGTCGGCCATCTTGGATACAACTTTTGTTTTTTCAATAGGAAGAGGGCCATGTGACACATCAAACTTATTGGTAATGTCACAAGAAAAACAATGGTGTGCTTGGTTTCAACGTAACTTTATTCTTTCATGAGTTATTTACAAGTTTCTGACCACTTATAAAATGTGTTCAATGTGCTGCCCATTGTGTTGGATTGTCAATGCAACCCTCTTCTCCCACTCTTCACACACTGATAGCAACACCGCAGGAGAAATGCCAGCACAGGCATCCAGTATCTGTAGTTTCAGGTGCTGCACATCTCGTATCTTCACACCATAGACAATTGCCTTCAGACTTTCAATTGTCTTCGGACGTTAATATCACCAAACATTCCCATTTTGTTACGGTGTATCCATATAAATGGCCCACCCTGTACAGTTAAATGGATTTCTTTAGACAAAGGATGGAAAAGAGTGTTGCATAAAAGCCCAGAATAAGATAAATACAGTTGTTTTTTTCTTTGAACTGTGAGTCATGCAAAGCTGCTCCGCTGCAGTCACCGGAGTGAAAGTACAGAGCTGAAAATGAGCCGAAGAGCTCCTATTTAAATCACTTCAAAGACATTTTTGAACAGAACAGATGTGTTCTCTGTAGGCCTGCTCACTAATCCTGACTCGAGTTAAAAGTGACTTTTAAAAAAGAGATATTACCAAATCTGACCCGTTGAGACTGCAGTGAGCGTTTCCACTGTTAAACCTTATTCAGATGAATAAAAAGACACTCCAGATGTAACCGAGAAAGCAGAAGAAGAAACCCCTGAAAGCCAGATAAAATAAATCCAGCTCTTTGTTTCCACACGCCGTTTCTCGTATTCTCGTATTGATTAATGCGTCTGAGCTGAAAACCAGGAGGCTGATATAAAGCAGTGCTGCAGTTGAGGGTTCAATTCCCACTGGGACACCCACGCTGAGCGCAAATGCTGCAGGCTTTTCAACACAATACTTGCAGCCCAAACTTGTCCTGCGTTTGGTGTTAATATCGCTGTAGATTAGGATTAAACTGTCGAGGCATTTACGTGTGTGTGTGTGTGTGTGTGTGTGTGTGTGTGTGTGTGTGTGTGTGTGTGTGTGTGTGTTGATTAGAACTGTCAGTCAGTCGGAGTTGAACTGGCTGCAAGGATAAGAGTGAAGTTTCCATCCAGCTTAGTGTTACTGGAGCTGCTGAGGCTTATGAGAGAGATTCAGTGAGAAGACAGACAGAAACAGATCAATAATTCTATCTGCTTCGATTACACTCCCACACTCTGCTAATCTCTGCACTCGCTATCTGTGTGTGTGTTTCTGGTAAATAATACTGCCTGTTGGTTTCTAAAGCTCCCTGTCAGGCTAAGGCCGGGATAATTTTGAAGATAATTCTGTTTATTGTTGGTGAAACACCTTGCTTGGCGTTTGAGGTGGCCTTGTGAAGAATAGATGTTCCTGTGGTCATTGCGTGACTCTCATATTTTAGCATTTATCCTCCTGCAGGTGATCCACCTGAGGCTGATTAGACCAGGGATGAGATGCAGATTAGGGATGTGACGTCCTTTCAAGGAATTTAGAAGATTACATGGTCAAAATTAAATACTATATAAACTTTTATTTTAATCAAGACACTGCTCAGCTAACTCCATTGTCCAGATGGTTAAGTTAATAAAAATTAAAATGACCTTACAAACGTGTTTATTTCTGCTGCAGAGTTGGCTTTTATTTGATACGGGACTCTACGTTTTTGAGCCAGCCTTAAGTGATCACCACAGGAACTGCAGCCGTTCAATTCAGTGGCAAATCAGTCGCCTCAAAGTACTTTATATTTAATTTAAAGACTCTCCAATATTGGAGAGAAAGCCCCCAAAATCATATGAGGTCTATAAACTATCACTTTGTGACAGTGGGAAAGAAACATGTACCCAGCTGAGGGGGAAGAGAAAAAGGACCTCCTGCATGTTTACCTCAAAGGATTGAGTCGCTTCTGCGTTAGTTTCATTATGCTGAGTGCTCGTCTCTGCCATGTATCCAAGTTCCTGCTATCTATCTTGTACACGGACCATATACACATTGTTTTTCATGCATTCAGTCACATTGGTGCCTTTAAAAGCAGCTGAATTGTCTGTGAGGAGGACCTGTTTGTAATGGAGCCATTAATGCTCAGAGTGAATCAGTGAATTGCTACAACGCTAAAGAAAGTTTAAAAGCATGAATATTCTGAAGCTGGTTCTGAATGCGTTTTCCTCTTTCTCTCCCTGCAGCCATGCCCCACTGAAGCCGACTCTTCACCAGACCTGCCGCCAGCTCTTCTCTCCTTTTCCTCCTCCCCCCTCTCCTCCTCTGCCCCTTCATCCTTTCCTCTTCGTGTCCACCATGGTCTTCTCCTGTTCCTCTCCTCTGCTCCTCCTCCCTCTCCTCTCCCTTGTCCTCTTTTCCTCCCCTATCCTCTCTGCCCCTGCTGCTCCTCCGCCTCCCTCCGTGCCATCGGGCAGAGTGGTGTACCGGGCCTTTGACACCTCCCTCACCCACCTGACCGTCCACCAGAGTACAGGTGAGGTGTATGTCGGAGCAGTGAACCGAGTGCTGAAGCTGTCAGCTAATCTGACGGAGCTGCGGAGTCACATGACCGGACCTGTGGAGGACAATGCTAGCTGTTACCCTCCACCCAGCGTCAGGTCCTGCGCTCATCGGTTTGTCCCCTCTTGTCTCACTTATTTATTTCTATATATCCTTACATCTGTATGTCTACACCTGTCTCACCTGTCTGCGTTACCTGTCTGCCTCTGTCCTCAGACTGGAGATGTCAGATAACGTGAATAAGCTCTTACTAGTGGATTATATTGGAAACAGACTGGTGGCATGCGGCTCCATCTGGCAGGGCGTCTGTCAGTTCCTCAGGCTGGAGGATCTCTTCAAACTGGGGGAACCGCATCACCGCAAGGAGCACTACCTGTCTGGAGCCCGAGAGGCTGATGGGATGGCAGGTAAGCAAGGCTGAAGAGGGGGTGGAGTTAGAGAGTCCTCGACAGATAATACAATTTAAGACATTTGGAAGGAATTAGCTTCTGGACAGTGGAAAAGAAGGATGTAGCCACCATGATGTCACCCATTGATTAGTGAAGTCATGCTATGAAGACGTAAGCTGAGCGTTTTTGTCACCGAGGGGTGAAGCTGACTTTAAAACTCCATTTGCTCATTTGATAACCACTTCTGGTTAATCAGCTGTTGTCTAGTGAGCAAACCTTGGATGATAATCTTTTCTGAATTAGCCTGTAATTTATAAATAGAAGTCCACGTTTTAATTGATGCAACCTAATCTAGTGATTGGTTCAATAAGGTCATCTGGAAAGGGTTCACTAGGGTTACAGATGGCCACAGACTCCCACTACAAATAACACAGGTTTAAGGCAGGTCTGCTTTTTCTTCAGTTTTCTCTCACCCCAACTTGTTGCGACATGGCCCCGCCCCTCCATGATCCTGGTTCTACCCGAGGTTTCTTCCTGTAAAAAGGGAGTTTTTCCTTCCCACTGTCGCCAAAGAGCTTGCTCATAGGGGCTCATATGATTGTTGGGTTTTTCTCTGTATGTGTTATTGTAGGGTCTACCTTACAATATAAAGCGCCTTGAGGCGACTGTTGTGATTTGGCGCTGTGTAAATAAAATTGAATTGAAATTGAACAGTTTTTAGACCCTAAAGCTGCGTCTTTTAGCCAGTCTGTGATTACAACTAGCTAACACTCACAGCTCCATAAATGATGCTTCACTGATCCATCAATTTGCACAAGAAAAAAAAACATGGTCTCTTAAAATAGTTTTTAGATAAATCACAAAAGCTAGCCGCTAACCAAGGCTAGCATGAATTCAGCTAACTGCAGAATCGTTTCTAATTTGGTGCTACATTTAATACTACTAGCTGATCTGGTCAACATTTAGCTTCACGTTAACAATATTTCTCCACTAGTGGTTAGAGCAACTAATTGCTGTTTCGAAAGGTTTTCTCAAGGAATCACGTTTTTGTTTTGTTTTTTTTACAGTTAAGTTAGCTAGTAGCTGATGGCTTTGACAGCAGTTACTCTCACTGTGAAACTGTGTCTCTGCTTTTTCCCTGAAGGTTTGTTTTATTGGATTACAGTGATATCAGCAGCTAATGCAACAGAGGGAATCTAATGCATGCTCTTTGTAAACAATATTTTATAGAATAGCAGTTTTATTTTCATGTTGTCTTGTTGTAAATACTCAATTATAAACATTCGGCAGATTTTGTACTGATGCATTGTCCCAATGTAATCATTTTAATGCCTAAAATAAAAACAATACGCTCCAATGTTCCCTCTGGACTTCTGTGCAGGCTGGAGAAGCATTTTGACTTGCAGACGTCAATCAAGTGTCAAAATATTTTGCAGGTTTTTATAATGTGCAGTTTTTGGCATGAACAAAAACCTGAATGAAGACTGTCAGGACATAACAACAGATGACTGACAGCTAGACTTTGCCCACATATTTCTTTGTAAAGCAGATTTTTGGTTCATTCACAAATGCTGGAATATTTTCTCTGCTCGGGAATCAGTGGGGAAAAAAGGTGTGAGTGAAATTAGTTAGACCTTTGATTAAAGTACTGGAACAGCCACTGTGGGACACTGCTTGAAAAGAAAGAGCTAATCAGACCCGCCGGAGCTTTTCTGGTGGAAATGGGTCTCACACTGCCTGCTAACACTTGTCCTTTCTTTAGCATCTGATCCAGAGGTTGTTTGTGCGTTGCATTGTTGATAGCTTTGTTGCTGGAGAACGAAGGAGTTCCAGTAAATGTTCTTCAGAATAAAAGTCAATATATTTTTCTGTTACATTACTATTATGAAAAAGCTAAAAGTAGCTGATTAGTTTTAAAGGAAGATGTGTTTATTTTGGCTATCCGCTGATAGAACTGACCTCTGTACAGCATCACAGTAGATTGTAAAGCTGTGAAAATGAGGCCTATGTAAAAAAAAAATATATCTGCAAACAGTTCATGCAAAGTGTTTGTAAAACTACAAAATTTAGGACTTTGTCCTGAACATTCTGGAAGGCACAGTATTAATCGCATCCTGCCTATTTGTCCTTCTTCTGCAGGTGTGATTGTTGAAGACCACTGGTTGGATGACCCAAAGAGAAAGATGCTGGAGAAGACCAAGAGCCACTTGTTCATCGGAGCCGCCATCGATGGAAAGTCGGAATATTTCCCCACGCTGTCCAGCAGGAAGCTGGTGGTTGATGAGGAGAGTGTCGATATGTTCTCTCTGGTTTACCAGGATGAGTTTGTCTCCTCGCAGATCAAGATCCCATCCGACACCCTGTCACTCTACCCTGCCTTCGACATCTACTACGTCTACGGCTTCTCCAGTCGCACGTATGTGTACTTCCTGACGCTGCAGCTGGACACACAGCTGACTCAGATGGATGCCGGAGGAGAGAACTTCTTTACATCTAAGATTGTGAGGATGTGCTCTGATGACACGGAGTTCTACTCATATGTAGAGTTTCCTCTGGGCTGCACAAAAGATGGCATAGAGTACCGATTGGTCCAGGCCGCCTACAAGCAAAAACCAGGGCGGCGGCTGGCACAAGCGCTCGGCCTTTCTGAAAACGACGACATCCTGTTTGTCGTCTTCTCACAGGTAGGTGACTGTTGATGCCCTCTCTTCTGACTGGATGTTTTCGATCTGAGCTTGAACTTTCTGAGTTTTTTTTTTTGTTGTTGAAGGGTGCCTTGCTCAGAGGCCAGTCCAGGACTTAAACCTGCAAATATCTAATTTATTTTTAAATGAATTAATTTCTTTTGTGGATTTTCAGGGTCAGAAGAACCGCTCCAACCCACCAAGAGAGACGGTCCTCTGTCTGTTCACCCTCCATGACATCAACCTGGCCATGAGAGAAAGGATCCGCTCCTGTTACCGTGGAGAGGGACGGCTCTCGTTACCGTGGTTACTGAACAAAGAGCTGCCCTGCATCCACACTGTAAGTTGCACCTTCAGCCCTGAAACTTGACTTGGGCTGGGCCTCTAAGGTCTGACGATATTTGGATAAGAACATGTGCTACCTGTTGAAAGGAGAAAAGAAATGTCAGGAACAGATGCTTTCGGGTTAGCGTTTGAAAACACTTTTAATATATGTCTGCATTAATTAATGACACCACTGGCTACATCGTAAAATATTGGCGATCTTATCCAAGCTCTAAGTAAACACAGAAGCTGATGGGCCCCAGATTGACCCGCTGCAGGCAGGAGACTAGTCCTAAAGGTTGTTGTTTGGACTTGCTTTCTACAGGCTTGAGAGATGACCTTGATTTTGCTGCTAAAGGTAACACATGTCTTGGACTTCTTAAACAGCTCTGTAGTATAGGCTAGTCCAATATCAGGATCGGGTGTTTTCCTGCCACATTTTCCCGATTTCTGTTGAAGCCAAAAAAGCCAAGTGTAAGAGGAAAGACTGACATTTTTAATTAGATTGTTAAAAAAAATAGTCCTGACCATTTCCTCCTGCATGTTTAGCAGGAAAATAAAGAAAAGGAGAGAAATCTCTTTGCCGTCTTTTACTTCTTCCTTTGTTTCGGTCTCTTTGTGCAAACTACATCATCTGGCCAGAGGCTGCCCTGAGGCTGCAACACACAGTCATGTTTCTGTCACTTCAGAGGACATTACGTTGACTTACGCTGGTTTCCTGGAGACTTACCCCAACCTTAAGTCTTCACACTTACATTTCATTATTAAATTGAATGTTTTTGTCCCCACAAGGCACCAAGGTTCACAAACTGTGACAGATTCGTCCCCACACTAAAGATGAGTTTGAATATACTTCATTTGCTCAAATGGATAAAAGATGAGAAATAGTGTGAACTTGGAAAAAATACAGGAAAAACAAGCCAGAGCGAACAGAAGGAAGAGCTCTCCCTCCCTCTCAGTGTCTGCAGTGGGGTTATTTCAGGTCGGGGGTAGATGATGTTCTTATTCATGGCGGTAATGGCCTGCAGTGGTAACCATGGCAACCAGGCAGGGAAACCCGCCAGGAGACGAGTTCTGAGCCGGGCCTGGGTTTTGGAAAAGGAGGGGTGGAGTGGGGTTGGAGTTGCCCACAGCAACCAACCAAGCAACCAAGCAACCAATCACAGCCAATCAGCCACACGCTGATGAAAGTGATGAAATATAAGTTAATGACCCATGCTACTGTGTGTGTGTGTGTGTGTGTGTGTGTGTGTGTGTGTGTGTGTGTGTTTTCAGGGTAAAGTGAGAGGAGAAGGAGGTCAGAGCAGGGCCTTTGTCCCTGCTCTGACCTCCTTCTTTTGTCAAAAACAGCAGGAAGTGTGTGTGTGTGTTTCAATGGGATGTGACATTGGGATGGTCTCAGTTTGTGTGTGTGTGTGTGTGTGTGTGTGTGTGTGTGTGTGTGTGT